CTGCTACTACAAGACAAAGTGAAAGGGAGTGTCTTCACATAAGAAAGCAGCTCCAACTCCATCTGCAGACTGCTTCCTTTGTGACCTGCGAACCCACCCTCCACCTCCCAGGACATGTGGAAGGATCAGCATGGCCTATGCTTGCTTTAGCATAAGCACAGGGAGCAGCGGGCTGGCATCAGCACCTGCCTCAGGCAGCCTGCTCTTCCAGGCAATCACACACCTTGCCCAGCCTACGCCTAGAACGAGCCCTGGGGTGGTCTTGTACTTCTGCAGAGGTTCCGAAAGACAAAGAAAAAAAAATCATATTTAAACATCTAAAGAATATGCAGAAAGCTGTAGTGGCAGTGGCTCTTTTTAGATGTATATTTTCTTCCTTCTTTTGTTGCTGCTAAATATCTGTCCTATCTATCTACTCCTTATCTACACCAACCCTCCCACTGTTGTTATCACCAGTAGAGCTGAACAACAATATGAAAGCTAAAACAAAATTACTATAGAAAAACTTTGGCACACCCTTTCCACTCTGTCTCCTCTCCTGATCTGAGAGAGATTGCTCTTGTTTGTTTAACTGCATAGGTTGCAATGGTTTTTACAACGTTATTGGAACCATGCAAATTACCACCATCGACTATGCTTCCTGAACATGAAGGGAATAATGTCACTGAAATTATCACACAATTGACTGCTCATTTTTTGAAAATGGAGGTGTGAAAATTGCTTGCCTGGGCATTTATTTTGTACTGGTAGCTGCAAACATGTTCAAAACAATAAAGAGGAAGGAGTTTTGGTACAATTGGATGGGTAGTTGCTGTGGACTAAGGCTTCTCCAGCCTGTCCCAGTGCTCAGTGTTATCTTCAGCTTTCTAGTGATAAATTACATATTAAACATGCTAAGGCAAAAGAAAGAAATAGTCATGGATGCTGAATCTTCTTCCACTGCGCACTACAAAGTGCCCAATGATGCCTTGCTTTCTGACAGATGACATCTAGCCAGGGTATTTCCACAAGTTTCTGGTATTACAGTCCACTTGACACTGAAGCCAGTCTAAATTCCACTGAATACAAGAACCTCTTCTACACTGCCCCACCACTTACTTGCTGTGATAATCAAACAAGTGTTCCATAGCACACTATGGTCAACATTGACCTGAAGGAAGAGACAAACTACAGACCTAAAAGTAAAACAGTTTAGATCCCAAGACTACACCTCAGAAAAATAATTTTTTTAAAAAATATAAACCTTCCAGAGCATGCTGCCCATTGGGCCAGATGGCTTCCCGCTGAGAGCTATATATGTATGTCTGCACATACATAAAAATCACAAATATAGCTGAAGACATTAAGAAACACTTAATCATCTATTATTCATCTTCACTTATTAGCCTGGAACTTTGAGAACTTGAACCACAAGCTGTCTCCAATGAGATAACCCTGTTCAAATGTTGTGAAAAGATCTGCTGCTGAATTCTTCAGGCTTCAAGCCTAAAGAGGCATCTGCACTTACAATGACCAACGAGGAGAAAAAAAGGGAAGAAAAATTGCATCAGTTCTGCTAAAAATTGGTGCAATTAGTTTAGTAACTGGACCACAATGACAGGCCCTTTCTTGCTTGCAGTTACAAAGACAGAACTAAAAAGAGGTTTTGAAATGCAGTTTGCTGTTCTGATTTAGTGAAATTTTTCAGAAGTCTGGTGACAGTCTGTTCACGTAAGCTGAGGGATCCCCAACTGCCTTCTCAATCACAAATAAACATCATATCCCTCACATAGCATCTTTTGAAATATTTCAAAAGCAAGAAACAAGCTCCGAGTTGCAAAGATGATTCAGAGCAGTGGGTGAGGAATGTAAATTCCATTTTGCAAAACATTTGGTCTACTAAGCCTTCTATTACCCCACAAGACATGTCAGGTTCTGTCTTGAACAGGGATTCTTTACCAGCTAAGAGACCATGTTTATAAGAGTTAGGTTAACATATAAGCACTTCAGGCAGTATTTAAACAGTCTTGCTGGGCAGGTCATGTAGGACCGATGTCTCTTCTCACTTCTAGCTTGCCTTGGAGTCAAGTAAAAGCTGTGGAAACTGAAGACTGCTTTTCTTCTGCCAGACCAATGTATTAATTTTGCTAGAAACTGCCTCTGAATAAAAGTGGGATATACGTTTTAAAGAGGAAATTGGCTAACAAATTTACCAGACAATCGGCAATTACTTCTGAAGCACAGTGGAAAACTGGGTAGTACTTGGATGGAGAAGAAAGTGGAAAAATGAGCAAACTATTCCATCTTCAGGAAAGGACAAAAGGTGGTCAAAAACGCAACCAACCTTCTGGCATAGGAAATCCTGGCCTATTCAGAATAATCTAGGATTGTGGAGGGAGACAGCCAATAAAACTCTTCAGCAGAATAGCCTCCTAAGCAATTGAGGAAATACGTTTTTTCACAGACCTCCCCACCCCAAAGTAAGTCCTGTCTAATAACTGGACCGAACAAAACCACTGGCAGAGTTTCTAGTTGAGAGGGAATGACTCAATGCACCCTCCTGAGAAGACACCTCTAAATTATGATTATTTGCAAAAAAACCCAGCAGAATTTCTTCCACTTTCCTGGCAAAATACCAACCCAGGTAACTATATTCCTCCAACTTGAAATGTGTTTGCAGCTGTCTGACTGGTGTTTTCCTTCCCACTTTTCTTCATCTTGTGTAGTAATGTTACTAACCATTGGATAGCTATTACTTGCTGCACCTGTGCTTAAGCAAAATAATCTATTTCAGAGTTGTTGTTAAGGACACAGCTCTGTAAAAAGATTTATACTTGCAAAGGAGTTGCTATTTACAAATAGTTGACATAATTTAAGGGAGCTGTATCATAAATATTTATAGCAACGCCATGTCCGAATTCAGCCAGAAGGTAGAAAACAGTTAGAGAGATATTTTTATTTAAAATATCAACCATCAGTACAGGACATTACATCATCCTGTCTAGTTTATGCAATATTTTAAATGAAAGACCACATTCCACCCCCTCATATCACAGACCCAAAGATACTCCTAGTTTAAGCTAAAACATGAGAACAAGGAGTTTTCCATCGAAGCAGAAGCGTTTCAAGGTCTCCACAGCCCTACAGCAAGACTCTTTCTCCAAGAAGGAAGCACAGCAACCTCTCCAGCTGAACAATTATTCTGAACCACAGGCTGAGATTTAAAACAGGATGTTTCATCACATTCAAAACAGGCACAATCCTTCAAAAAAGAGCTGAATGAAGAAAAGAAGAGCTTCAATAAGCCTATCACAGGTGATTTGGATGGTCAATGAGCTATTTGCCACACAAGCCCAATCTCCAGGTCTAACAAAACAAAGCTCATGAGTTTCCCTAAAATGTTTCAGTAAGAGAACTGCTCAAGTTGCAAGAGACCAAGACATACACCTTCCTACTACAGGATCTTCTGATCCCATTAAGCAACCACTGAGGGCAATTGACCTTAAGTAACTAATTTTGTAACTGAAATGTTGCAAGTTTACTGACACCCTTCCTCAAGTTACAAGAACCAGAAACAAGAAAGCTGACCAAAACACATATGACATTGTTTTGTGGCAATTCTAGCTATCACTCTTTGTCCAAAGGTCCCAGATAAAGGGCTTGTCATCTTTAGCTGCCTGGGAAAAAAAGTTTTCAAGAGCATCACAGCCAGATAAACACAAAATCACAAATCCAGAATTTACAAATCAAATCAGGACATGTATAGCAACATGCACAAAATGTAATTCTACAGTCCACACATAAAAACTTACAGATAAATAATTATTTTACATGTATGTAACCTTTGTTTTAACTAAGAGGAAATTCCTTAAGTATTGAGAATTTTCCACAAAACCTTGCCATTAACCAAACCTTTTAGAGGCTAGTCATCCTCCCAGCTCTGGATTACACAGCTGTGATTAACAGCCTTTGAAAATAAAACAAAATATTTTAATTTTACCTCTAACGCAGCTTGTAATTCTCTCTATTGCTGAAGCACCTGAGACCACAGGATAGCACTCAGTTGTACTTAATACCACTTAAACATACAGTTCAAACTGTCAGAGATATTAAAAATAGAAATGGTAGTATATTTCCTAAAGTCTTGAGCCTTTTAACCAAGATTCAACACCCTTCTGAAAGAGCACAGACATTTGTTTCAACAGAAGAGATGTGCTGATGCTGTATGGCTTAGAGTCTCGTATTGCCAAACCCTACACAATACTAGATGACAGCAAATTAGGCACTGACCAACTGTGGCACCTCTAACACTACTGTTACATCACACACACATTGCTGCTTTTCTTTACCCTTAATGCCCCTCTCCTATATTTTCACACAGAGTTGAGCTAGCACTACTTGCTTAGCACATCTGCCCCAGCACGGGAAAGGGTCAGAAATGAGTCAGAAGTGGCCATTTCCACCTGCTGATAGTGCTCCACCCAGAAAGTAAAAGAGCATAACTGCTCTGCATCAGAAATCAGTAGGACAGTTTTGGTGTAAGAAGAAAGAAATGGGAAGAGAGGCCAATGCACTGGAGCTGTAAGAAGCAGCCTGTGTATCCAGCAGCATTTTATGCTGCAAGCTTCATTATGAGACAAAATTTCTTAATAACAGATTCTAAGTTCTTCAGTGGACTCAGAGCAGCTTAAAAGAAGCAGAGTTGGTAGACAAGAGGGAGGAAAGACACACCCTGCTCCAGCCACAGCTCTTTCTCTTCATCAGCTCATCTAGAAGATTTAAATGATCATAATACAAGAAGAGAAATAAAAAGAAAATCAGTATGACAAAAGATTCAAATAGCACTGGCCATTGTTATCCAGAGACTGGATCAGGCATTTGTAAACTCTCCCATTCCAGCTTTCATCAGAATTGCTCTAGATCTGGAAGCTGAGTGAGCACTGCAATTTTTTAGAAAGCCAAACTAGTATTTATCAGTCAGTTGCCCTCCCTCCCTCAAATTCCAAACCCACAAAACTTACCTGCTTCTGGATCTGGAGGAATCCTCCACATATACAAATTGAAGTCGTCAGAGCCCGAAAGGATGTACTGTTAGAAATAAAAATAAAAGCAATTTACCACAACGCATCACCTAAATTATGTTATTTTATTTTTGATCTAGTTTCTCCAAACCAAAAATGAGAAAAAAAGATAATTTTTATCATTCTTTGCCTCTTGGCGATCAACTTGGCCTTAACTGGGGGTGAGGTACCAGCACCAGAATGTTGCATGCATGTAAACAGACCAAAATTCAAAAGCATACTTCATGTATCTAATGCCTACTGCCTAAAGTGTATGTTTTCTTTGCTAAATAAGGCTATGGATTTTGGTTGGCTTTAACACTAGTGTGCCTAGATCCAACTCTCATATCTTGCAGCCTGCAACTCTGGTCTTTTTTTAATGGCCTTTTAATCCTTTTTTCTCATCTCCTGAACTACCAAGGAAAACTCCATCACACACATACCTCAGAAGAGAGCTAGCATCTCCATTACACACAAGCATACGTTTGGCTCATCAAAAGACGGTCACTGAGAATGATCTTGAACACTGAACAAAACCAATGCTAAACATTCACTGTCAGCAAGTCTCAAGCGGTTTAAAAACCCACATTTATCATACTGCTCCTTTTTCTCCTGGTTATAGTTACTCCAAAGAGATGGAAGGCTGCCCTTTTTCAACAGTGCATGAACGATAAGCACCCTCTTTATTGTACAGAAGTTTAGGCAACATGCAATTTGAAGTAGCTTAATATACTACAAACATGCACTGGAATGACAGGTGACATCTGACTTGGTAAAAACCTTACACCTCTCATTTACAAGAGGCCACAAACTGCTCCTTGTCTCCAAATATCGCTTCTCCAACAAGCTTCCTCCGTGTCACTTACTTCTCTCCTAGGTTAGCGATGAGATGACACATAGTGGAACCAAGGGCAGATTCCAATTCAAATTATACTGGTACAGACAGCATAAATCTCTAGCCCCCTATTGACTTAAGGCTTCTGCTTGATCAATACAGTCAAGAAAGTTAGGGCAAAGAGACGGGAGAAAAAGAAAGAAATGGAGGAAGTTTGTCCCTTTTCTAACTTTTGATAGGAGACAAGTTCTGTTTTGTTTGGCTCAAATATAACTAGTTTCTGTCTTTCATTCTCCAGGGATACATAAACTCACCAGGCAAAGTAATACCAAGGAGTAAGGAGACAAGTCCTGGAATAACACAGGACTGAGAAGCAAACAAACAAACAATACACACTAACATGCAGAAAACTGCTATAAATCTGCATATATTCTGTTTGCAATGCTAATTACATTTGTGCAGTGTCTGGATGTTTCCAGCCACAAAAATGCAGTAACCAACCACTAAAATCCCTTCTCTGGTTTCCTACTATCACAATACAACCATTCTTTCTTCTCTTTATTTTTAAGGATGTAGGATGTGAGTAAGCACTTATGAATGCAATTCTGTTCATTTTCTGACAGATAAGAAGCACTGATCAAACAACAGTTCCTTTAAAAACTTGTGCACACTAGTTCTGCATCACTCAGAGACCCATCCTTTCCACGCCAGAAAGTTATTTCTACAAGCCAACATGTTCAAGCACTTAGGCAGCTTACCTCTGCCAAACTGACCTGGCGGTGCCAGGAATACGTGTTTCCCTTTCATTTGACTGCTCATAAATGTTAGCCCACAGCAGGCTGAGCCACTGTGCCAAAACTACGCAGATTAAGGGCTCATTTAGACAACCTCCCAGCAATCAGAAAGAAAGCACCTCTAATATGATTTGTTACACAAGAAATGCTACATGGAAAAACAAGCCTTGTTTAAAGTTATAAAGCTGTTGCCAGTTGTTTGCTTTTATTACCAATTTGTGTGGTTGAAGCAGCAACTGGTTTGCCTAGGACATACAGGGAAAAATTGAGACTCCTAGAACAGTCAGAAAGATCAGTATCTCCATTTAAGACCATAATGCCTTTTTTTCTTTTTTAAACCAAACAAGATCTAACAACTCCTCAATACAAGAGTCATTTAGCACTTCACATCATAAATCAAACAAACCTACCAACAACGACAGGCCCCAAAGTGACATATTTCAGATATCCTGCACCAGGCACACAATATGGAAAAAAAACGTTACGTACATGCAGGGAACAAAGTGTCTGTGAGACTTCAGCTTCCAAACTGATCTGCAAAGAAACACACTGTGTATCCTGTAAGACTCAGTGGCAAATTGTCCAGGAAATCTGGTGTATCATTGCCCACTGAACAAGAACATACCACCTCCAAAGACCACTGATCTGAGTATACTGTCTTGCTTTAGAGACAGCAGAATTTAGAGTGCACTTTCAGTGATGTGGACTAACGGCAATTTGACTGCACTATCAAGAGGGTAACCAGGAGGTCAAGACAAGTGATTATTCCCCTTGCCTGGCACTTCTGAGGCCACACCTGGAGTACTGTGTCTGGTTTGGATCCCCTGATACAAGTGACACTAATGAATCAGACAAAGAGTGGATGAAGGTTGCTGGGGCTGAAGGCACATGAAGCTAAGGGAACTGGCTTTATTTATCCAGAAGAAGAAGAAGTGAAGGGACAGAGTGGACCTCAACAGTCTCCCACTGTCTGAAGAAATATAGAGCAGCTGGGGACAGATTCTTCCCAGAGGTGTGCAGTGAACGCTCAGGAAGCAATAGTCACAGCAAGGGAAATTCTAGCTGAGCACAAAGGAACAGCATGTTCAGGAGGAACATAACAAACACTGCAACTCGGCCCCAGAAAGGCAGTGGAATCTCCACCCTTGCAAATCCAAAACTGACCTGGACAATTCCCTGAGCAGCCTGACCTGACTTTGAAGATGCTCTGCTCTGAGAAACAGCTTAAGCCAGATGACCTCCAGAGCTCTCTTCTGATTCAATATTTTCAAAGATTACTAAAGTAGAAAAGAAAATAATTGTCTTGGTGGATTGGGGTTGGTTTTTGGGCTAGGGGGGTGGAAGGGGGGGGGGGGGGAGAGATGTGTAGTATCACGAAAATGCCCACCTGAAACCTTTAGACTCCATCACACATCACAGCTTCATGAAAACGCTACTGGGAAGACAAAATTAGGCCACACAGAGGCATAAACTGCAGTTCAGCACATGGACTTGCATAAATTCAGGTGGTCACAATTTGGGGAATTTAAAGAATGAAATTGGTGAAGTATCTTAAAGTGGTTCACAGAAAGACAGAACAGCTGAGGCTGGAAGGGATGTCCAGAGGTCATCTGGTCCAACCACCCTGCTCAGAGCTGACTGCCCAGGACCATGTCCAGAAAGCTTTTTAATATCTCCAATAGCAGAGATATTTAATCCAACTATCTCTATTTGAGATATTTCCCGCCTACTTAAATGCACCATGAAGTCCTTCACTTCATTACCATCTTCTAGGCTAATGACATTTGCACCAATCGGATACACTGAGACAACATATTCTAGAGTGATTTAAGAGAAAATAAATAGGAATGAATAAAGCATCTGCATTGCAATTTATGTCTATTCACAGCACAAAGCTCAGCTCAGGATCTAAGCTGTCCTGAAGAAGTGCTTATGGGTTTAATCTTGCAACTGAGACAGCCATCAGTAAGTGCCAAAAGCATTAATCAATAAAGTGACCTACACAAGTTTGATGTAAACAATGGGTTGTGAGTTGTGAACTTTTTATATAAATATATTATTTTGATAGTTAGCTCTGACAATAATTACCAGAAATAGATCATATTCCACAAAATATCCAACTATTTGGTATCTCTGCCATTTCACTGCCACCACTGTAGCAGCCAGCATTGTTTTCCACTTGCCTTCCCTGTTAGGATACCTCTGGGGTACATGTTTTCTTGCTGTTCTCATAATACAGAAGTGAATCCCCAAATGCATTCCTTTTGTCCTCTTCTGTAAGACCAGGTGACAGGGGTCTGAGAAGTAGAATGTGGCTTTTCAGACAGAAACCAAGAGACTGCCAGAAGCACAACTTCATGACTGCAGCTATTGCAAGAAGGATGTGCCAGCTGAAGCTTCAAGAGCAGACACTCATGCTGCTAAAGCCAGAAACGCGCCTCTTCCATGACATTTGAAAAAGAAACTCAATTCCAATTAGTACTCTCCGCACAAGACAATGGGAACCCAAGGACTCTGGAGAGCACAGCTTGACTGACATTTCTAGGACATTTACATGATCATCTGTGAAATTTTTTCTTTGATGTATTCATTGTTAGTATAACAATAAGCCAATAGTTTTCCACACTAGTTGAAAGTTGGAGAATAAGGACCAAGAAAAACGCAAAAGTCAGTCCATACTACTAAAAAATTCAAAGAAATAACTGCTATGAAGTGCACCAAGCCCTAGTTAATAAGGCTGAAATCCCGAGGGAACGGAGTACTTTTTAAAAGGAAGAAACAGAAAGGAAAGAAAAGGGGTTGGGGTGGGGTAGGTGAAAGAATGTCATGCTGCATATGCTTAGACTCCACTGTAACTGTGGCTGAGGATTTCCAGTCCTGAGGGGATGTGCGTAAATCCTAGCAGAGTACCTTCTACTCAGTCTAAGAACAAAAGCCCAGATAATCAAATCACAGAGGCAGGCCACTGAGAGGCAAAAACATGTGCATTCACAGAGACAAGTAAAAGGCTAAGACAGTGTGCACTCTCCCTCCTCCTGCCTTCCCCAACCAAAGACAAACTCCAAGCAGAACATAATCTCAAGAACCAGTGCAGTGCTGAATTCTGAATCGGACCAGACACTGCGTGAGGAGCGCAGACGCTCCGATGTCTGGGGGGAAAGATCAATATTAAAACCACGTGTTTCATTGTCAGCATTTTTGCTGCTGTATCTGACCAGGACTTTGGAAATCAACATTCACAATATTCACATGAACATGAGATTAGACAGAAAAACAATTGCTAATAATTAATATAGGAGGTTTTTTAGAAGGGAAGAATCAGCTTCTATGTCTAGCTGTTAGCAACAATGACAGGAAAAGGCTTCCAGATGACTACAAGCTGCTGATTTAGAAGTTTGC